CGGGGAACAGAACAGGCAGACTGATGAAATACATTGCTTAAGGGAACAGTGGGTGCAACAGGAGAGGTCTGCAGCGCCATGTGGGACCCTCTCCAGGATCGAACCAGCGCTGCAGAGGCTATGGACAACCTCACAGCACGGCACTCGCTCAACCGCCTGCACCACCAGGGGAGGCCTGATTCAATTACATTTTTAAGTGAAGACTTTAGGGTTCTCTATGGCTACTATCATGTCATCTGCAAATGATAAGATTATTTCACCTTTCCCAATTTGGATTCCCTTTATATCTTTCTCTTCCTTAATTAGTACTTTCAATATTATGTTGAAAATTAGTGGTGAAAGTAGACATCCTTATCGTTATCAGATCTTAGTGTGAAATCTTTTAGTTTAGCTTTTCACCATTGTGAATGATGTTAACTGTGTGTTACCTGACCTTTTGGTTGAGGTACCCTCCCTTTATCTCCAGTTTTTTAAGGTTTTTTTTTTTTTTAATATTAAATGGATGTTGAATCTGACCATATGCTTTCTCAGAATCCAATAATACGATCATAAGGTTTTTATGTTTCCTTTTGTTAATATGATAAAGAATGTTGATTGATATTTGGATATTGAACCATCCTTGTGTCCCTGGAATAAATTCCACTTGGTCATGGTATATTATCCTTTCAACAGATTTTTAATTTCAGTTTGCTAAGATTTTGTTGAGGATTTTTGCACCTATGTTCATCAGGGAAATTGGTCTGCAGTTTTGTTGCAGTGTCTTTGCCAAGTTTTGGTATTAGGGTAATATTGGCCTCATGAATGTGTTTGGAGTATTTTCTTGTTCTCAGTTATTTAAAAGAATTTAAGATGGCTAGGTATTAGTTTACCTTTGAAGACTCAGTAGAATTTATTAGTGAAACTATTTGGTACTGAACTTTTGTTTTTTGGGAGACATTTGATTTTTGTTTAAATTTCCATGCTTGAAATTGGCCTATTCAGATTGTCTATTCCCAATTCAGCTTCTGATGGTTGTTTATTTCTAAAACTTTGTTAAAATTATTAGTATACCATAGTTCATAGTAAGCTCTATGATTCCCTGCATTTCTGAGATCTCTGTTGTAACTTCTCTTTTATTTCTGATTCTATTTATTTGCATTTCCTCACATTTTTTTCCTTTTTGAGCCTAGCTAGAGATTTGTCAATATTCTTTATTTTTTTCAAATAAATAGCTTTTGATTGCATTAATCTTTTGGACTGTTTTGATTTCTATTTCACCAATTTCTGCTTTAATTTTTATTATTTTCTTCCATCTTATGTTTTTGTTAAACTACTTCTAGTTTCCTAAAGTGACAGATAAAGTTACTTATTTGAGCTCTTTCCTGTTTATTGATGTGAGTCTTGTCTTTTTTTTTTTAAGATTTATTTATTTATTTGTTTGTTTGTTTGTTTGTTTGTTTGTTTGTTTATACAAGCACTGGGTACAGTCAGAAGCGCGGGAGGGTGAGAGAATTCACCAGAGCCAGAACGGGGAGCAGAAGAGGCAGACTGACGAAGAAGCACACTGCTGAGGGGAGCAGCGGGAGTGGCAGGAGAGGTCTGCGTGCCATGTGGGACCCTTGCGGGTGGCCAGAGATCGACCCAGCACTGCAGCTTCACAGCCCAGCACTCAACCGCTACACCACCAGGGGAGCCCTATTTATTTATTTATACAAGCACTGGATACAGTCAAAAGTGCGGGAGGGTGAGAGAATTCACCAGAGTCAGAGTGGAGAGCAGAGCAGGCAGACTGACTAAGTACATTGCTGAGGGGAGCAGTGGGTGGCAGGAGAGGTCTCCGCGCCATGTGGGACCCTCATCCGGCGGCCAGGGATCGAACCAGCGCTGCAGAGGCTGCAGGCAGCTTCGCAAGCCAGCACTCAACCGCTGCGCTACTGGGGAGGCCCGTGAGTCTTGTCTTTATTGCTATATTCTGCCTTCTTAGTATTGCTTTTGCTTTGCACCATAGGTTCTGGTAGGGTGTATGCTCACTGTCATTTGTATTGAGAAGTTTTTTAATTTCTTTGTTATTTTCTTCATTAATCCAGTAGTCATTCAGTAGTGCGCTCTTCATTTTCCATATATTAGCATTTAATTTTCTGCTTGCTTTTTCTGCTATCTCACCTAGCAATTTCAAACATATCACCCCATAGTTAGGAGTGTACTTCCACACTAAAAAGCTCTCCCTTACCCATGATCACCCCAACATAGGAGTGTGGGTTGGTGCCCTGGCCATAGTTTCTAGGCACTTCTCTCTCCACACACCTTTTGTTGTAGTCAGTGTTAGTCTCTAATAATCAGGAGGTATCTAGTTTTTACCCCAAGTCATGTGAGTTCAGTAATCCTCTGGATTATTTTACATTATCCTCTCAGGAAAGAGGCAGGTAACCTGCTCTGATGCCATCTTCTCAGCAACTTTCTATAACACCCCTTGAGTGACCACCAAAAAACTAGACAAAGGTCAGGATCAGTGACATCTCTGCTTCCTCCCCAACTGGATCCCTCTGGCAGTGTCTCTGGAGGAGGCCACTCAAGTGTCTGTGGCTACCAGTTGCAGGCAAATTCCTAATTTTCACTAATTTGATGTTCATGCCTATCCTTGGTGATAGCCAAGTAAAAATTATTTTCATGAACATATCGAATGAAAAAGATGGAATTTAAATATTCCTTTTTTCTTGTATCTGATATCTTTTGATTTTAACAGCAACAACTTGGTTAGAGGAAGCAGAGTTTTAGGAAATTACTATAAGCAAACTGTGAGTTAAAATAGATTTTATCTGCCCATAGGTAATCTACATAATTCCTTGTTGATTTTTTTTTTGGTTTTCATCACTCTGGAATTCCAGATCATGAATAAGATGTGAGGGAGAAGGAGGGGGAGATATAGAATGAAAATGGGCAATGTTGCCAATATTATTTATCCAAATATTGTTTTAGTTATTGGCTAAAAAAAGCAAACAAAGATTGGAATACAAAGATGATCCTGGTATTGACATTTGTAAAGCAAAAAGAAGGCTTAAAAATTCAAGATGTGCACAGTATGACTCTCACTCCCACTACTTACACAGTTCTATGCATACATGAAATAGGATTTGACAGAATTAGATCATGTGTGATTTTTCTGCTTTATTATCAACTAACATTCACTACTTTTTCTTTGTAATAATTATGTTTATCTGATATATTTCATTGCAAAACCCCTTCAAATGGCAATACGCATAATGGTATTTTGAAAAGGGTAAATTCCTAACAGGAGTTCAAAAGGGGAAGCCATGTATCTGTTTGTTGAAAAGAAAACTTTAGCTAACCTCAGAGATTATGATAATCATTTTCCTTTAAAGCAGGCCATAGATATGTTTAGTCTCTGACTTTTGACTTTGAGGTTGAATGCCTAACATGTTTACAAGAGAGAGCGATTGAGATTTTATTTGAACAAAGTAAGATAAAATAGAACAACAACAACAACAAAAAGGCAAATGGATGTACTGGTTTCTATAATTCTAGAATAAACACTGGTCCCTGGAAAACAGTTTGAAGGACTGAGAAAGAAAAAAAAAATACCTTCAGATAGGATATGGGAAGGATGTTCAAACTCTCAACTAGTTAAAGTTGTAAACAGTGTGGGTGTGAAAAAGCAGTAAAGAACAACTAGACCCTGTGAAGTTTCAACAAGAGGAGTGGGTGTATAACAAATAATAAAAATGCAAGTTACAGTTACAAAAATAGAGAGGCATGTGTATCCATAGGAAATAGATCATGCGCTAGAGAGCTAATCTGTACAGTCTTGTGCAGTGATCAAAATCACACTAAGTGATTCAAAATTCAAAAATGAAATTTCACCTAAAAGCTCTACAACAACATATATATGAAAAAAAAAAAAAAAAAAGAACAAAACCCACAGCCCAGGATGTAAATTCCATGTGAAGTGTATCCTATGAGCAGAATTTTCCGAGTGAACAGATCTCCCCCTGGGATTAAAGGAATACCCTTGCTGGGACTGAAAGCATAAATGGGCAATACTGTTCCAGTGGAAAGTGTGCTCCCACAGAGAGGTGTGCACATCTTTCTTTTACACATGCTGAATGCAAAGAGCAAGGCTCTGGAGGTTTAGGAAAATCAGTAGTCCCTGAGTAGCAGCCCCTTCAAAGATGTCACGGGGAGGATCTAGTGCTTTTCACAGGTTTGGGTATGAGTGTTCTGCTTGCCGAGGGGTCTGACAAACACCCCTTCTCTCGTCTCTGTCTAGACTTTCTTGGCTCTAGTTCTGCCTGGTCTCTAATTATTTACATGGCATTACATTGTCTTGTGTTTATAATTTCCAGCAAGGAGAATAGAGCTCTTTTCCAGAAAAGATATTGTTTAGAATATTTACTCTTTTATGTTAAAGAATATCAAATAAGATTGCAATAGCAGCTTCTTAGAAAATGATTATATGTAAATAAAAATTGAAAACTGATACTTAAAATCATTATTTTACATTTAGGGTCACAAGGATAATGTGTTATTAATAATGGAAATTATTCCAAAAATTTCCATAAAAATGGAAAATATTCAGAGTAAAAAGAAAATAAATCTAAGTTACATATGGATTAAGGATTACAAAGACAAGGAGCAGGTTAAGAGAGGATATCCTGATATGACTGACTGGCTGCAAATACTTGATCATATTCCTAAGAGATACTATCTATGAAATGATTGCAAAGAACAAAGACATTTTCAAGATAACAGAAAACCTTGGAGAAATTTCTATATGAGATATGCTTTCATTTGCTGACATATAATATACACCTAAGTTCATATTTTTGACCATAAATAAAAAACATTTTAAAAATGAGTATCGATGCTTAAGTGTATTTTCTGAGTTAGGGTACATACTATCCAGAAATAAAAGAAAACATTTTAAAGAAATATAAGGACCTACTTCTACTAAAATTTAGTTCTTTTACTATTCTACATGGTTTTCTTACTGAAAAGTTTCTTACCTGGGCTGATTGTTTATTTTTTCATGTTTTCCGTTGAAGTTCAAGCTACAGCTGTTTGTCCATTTTGAGTGTGAAGAGTCTGACTCCAAATTTGCCTGAGTTTGTTCTCTCAGACGATCATGAAGCGTCGCCTCCTTTTTTAAGTTCATGTCCGAATATGGACAGCCAAAAGCACTGTTTTATATAAAAATGAGAGCACAGGTGTCAGTTAAGAGTTATAAATCAGAATCCACTGTTATTGGAACAGATTTACATTCAATATTTAAAAACTGAATAGACACACACCTCTCTCCCTGTGCACACTCAAATAAGTTTTTTTCATACTGCTCTTTGAGAAAATCTCAGGTTCTGGACCCTAGAAACTGATCAGCAGGGTATTGCAAGTCATTTCATAGGTACATATGATTTTTACAATTTTGGAAACTTAACAATCTAAGAATAACATAAACATGTGCTTTCAATAGAGCAATGAAAATGTCATATAGGGATTGAATCAAAGTTTTTAATCCTTTAATATTTTTTCCCTGGCTTGACTACCTACCTCAACACCACTTTGGATAACTACAATAAAACTATTTCCAGTATCAGAAAACACTATGATTTCATTCCTTACAATTCATGTATCCAGAGATGCTGTAGCTGGAGTTCTGCTTAACCTTCCTGAACTTCTTAGGAAGTTCTGTGTTCGAATATGAAGAACCACTGTCATGGCTAAATCTTGAGTCCTGCATATTATTGGAACTAGCAATATGAGCTGGTTCTTTCTACATGCTGATCAGTTTATCTCTGTTGGATTTCTGTGCCCATATCACTATCTCTGAAGAGATCCCAAAACCTCCTTTGCTTCTAGGAATGAGGCAGCCACTGCTGGAGAAAGAGTCAAGAAATCACCCTCACACAATCCTGGGGAAGACATTTCATACCTGAGCTTCAGCTTCTTTCCAGTGAAATGGGAAAATGAGATCCAATTCATAAGGTTTGCTGTGACCATGAGGACACACACACATCATACCCTGCCCCCATTAAATGGAAGTTGCTATCATCATCACAGTGTTATTATCCTCTAAATCTAAGGGAGCACAGCCAAATGCATCAATAACTAGGCAGCTGGTTCTTTTTCAGGAATTTCCTGATAAATGATATATAGTAAATTCTTCTGGATATTTGAAAGAGAAGTTTTCTTTTGTTAAGGTCATGATAAAATCAGGAAGCAATGCAGTTTTCTCCCCATTTTAGAGCTTTCCAGGGAGGGTCTGTCCTATTCTAACCTCAAGGGACTTTAATATCAACCTGTATCTGGAATCGACCTGCTAGAATTGGGATGGGGTAATTAGGTTGATAGAAGTCTGGCCAACATGGCAGGGTGAGTTTGTATTGGCATCATGATTGATAAGCAGCTTTGCCACAAATAGGAATGCCCTTTTACATGCATGTTCTGTGATTTATAATAATTGTAATTGATTTACTGGTTTATTCATTTAGATTCAATAACTCATTAACGAATATCTGTTACATGTTATACAATTTAGAAAATATAAGTTTTGTAAAAAAGTTAAGACATATCTACTGAAAATACAATGTATAATAAGAAAAAAAAGCAATCCATGTTGAGTGTATACCAAAAGCCCATTACAATTCACAGTGTTTTACATATATCACTTCTAATATCTATTACAAAATACTTAAAGATACTATTAATATATTTATTTTACAGATTAGAAAACAGGTTCACAGAGGATAAGCAACTTTCCCAATGTTGTCTGGCATTTTCTTGGGAAGCCCCCAAACTGATCACTGAGTTATTAGCACCCATCAGTTGGGTAGAAGTGGGACAAAGTTTGTAACACCATCAAAAAGTAAAAATGAAGGGAACTATAATTTGAAAATGAAGGGAACTATATATATATATATATATATATATATATAATTTTGGTACAAAGAGAAGCAGGTATTTACATGGCATAGCAATACTTGGTTTGCCAGGATTAATGGCGGGGAAAACATGCCAGCATATGCTAGAGTACTGGGCAGGGAATGAAGATGTGACAAAGTACCATTTTCATAACAACAAAGCAGAAGCATTTTGTTTAAGCCACAGCATTTAAGGTTTAAGGGAGATGTTTAGAAAAAAACTTTCTGCAGATAAAAGTTGAGAGACAGGCTAACCACAGGGGATTTGGGAACGTTTATTTCAAGCACAGCTGAGTTTTCCTTAAGATACTATCACTCAGCAGCTTTGCTAGCTAAGAATACTCCCAATTTGAAAGTTTTTAATCACTATTATGGTTCTGAATTTTCATAATTTTCAATCACTTGCTGCAGTGAAACATTTCTGTTAAAGTGATGGTATCCAAAATTTTGGTCTGTGTTCCTCCAAATGCCAACCCTCACTCATGTGTATGTACATACACGTGAATCTGCACAAATCTATACATACAGGAAAAAAAAAAATCTACAGATGTGATTTTGCTGGGTCTGAAAAAGCCATTTTAAAATTACTTTTGATTTGGCCAAATATTGGGCAAAAACAGCTCTAAAGACATAATCTCTTTCAAAAATTGCAGGTATAAGCTACAATATCTATGAATGAGTATCTGTTGATAAAAGTAAAATGTCAGTTTCTGACTGAAAGAGGAGGAGCATATTCAAATTTCAGCTCATTATGGATCAGGATAAGCAGGAGTGAAAATTGCAGAGTTCGAGGGCAGCACCTAGCAGCAGAGTCCCGTGGGAGCCTGGGTTTTTTTGACTGAGCATATCATTTCACCAATCCTTCTTAATTTGATTTGTGTTCACCGGTAGCTTGACAAGAAGGAAGAGACAGAAGAAACTACTGGGTTGACCAATATGAAATTGCAGTCTTTTAAATTCAATGATAGTCAAATATTGGAAATTTCATGTTTCAACAGAATAATTTATTGAAAATGTCAACTCTATGCTCATCAATGGCAAGGTAGAGAAACAGATTGTAAATGCTTAATAAGAAAATGCTCTGGACATTTGCAAACAGGCTTTTAAAGATATTTTTTACACATCCAAAACCAAGATCCTAGTGACCTTACTTCAAAAATAAAACATAAAAGTGAATTTAATTTAAAATACTAGATTTGCTTTTTTAGAGTATTTAATTATAATTTTTTAATATATGAGAATAAATGGAAAAGTACACTGTTTAAGAATTTTTTTTTTTTTCCGTAAAAAACTGTTCTGTAGGCTTTTGAACAGCAGCATTCTTGTCTTATGCTCTGCCTTGGATTTGTGATGGGGACAGTCAATAGTCTCAGGTAGGCGATGTTGAATCACTGCATTTTGTGTTAGGCCCAGGACAGTTCTCAGCTTGAGTTCTTCCTTCTTTTCATAGCTGGGGTACCTCATTCCACAGGTTGGTACAGTCTCCCGATAACCTCAGCACCAATCCTGATCTGAGGTTGGAGGTAATTCTCTAAACCACTTGCTCAATTTTGAAGACCGAAGTCTGACCCTGAAGCAGTACCCAGTTGTAGTAATACCAGTTCTCAGGCCTTCTTCATGAATCCTAGACAGCCTTATGGGCTCTAGGTTCTCTGGCTTGGCATCTTCCTTGGTCCTCGTTCCTAAATGCCTTGTCTGCTGCCATGTCTAGAATTCAAGGGCCTGAATGTATGAAGAGCTGTATTTCTATTTTGTTCTTGGCATCCCCTTTCCATGAAAAGATCTCTGCCTCTAGTCCCAACCTAGGAAGCTTGGACACACTTTCCAGTTATCCCCTGGCCAGTCTTCTGTGTGCTTCTTACCTAGAATTATTATCTATTACTATACTTGTCCACTAATTGGTATCCCTTCATCTTACTCCCACTTCCAAGACTCTAGATGATGCCCACTGATTGTCAACCCCATTGGACACTAGTTTCTACTCATCCAACTATGTAATCATTTTACATCAGCAATGTGTTTATTTTCTCATGCTCAGGCAGCAAATTTGGTTCCTGCTTCTAACAGGGGCCATGCTCTGTAAAGTCCTGGAACATAGACAGCTTGGACTGTGAAGTTATAACTAAGGCATCACAATGAGCTAATGGTAGCTTTCCAACCAGTATGCCGCTACAGCCTTAGGATGGCCTGCAGGAGTCCGGTGCACCTGAGTCCCAGGCCAGTCCTTCCAACCTTAAACAGTCTCCTCTAAATCCCCCTTCTAAATGGTCTCTCATTCCCAAGTACTGATTTATTATTGTCTCTCTGTGGCATGACTTTAAAAAGGTGGGGAAGCATTACAGATTTAAGTAAAATGGCAAGGATGAAATATCCCCTTGAGTGCTGTACTTCAAAACAAAAATTAAAAAGTAGAGGTCAGCAGTATTGCAAGAAGAGTGTCAAGTTGTTGACAGTCTTTCTCCAGATCCTGAAAAGAGGAACTGCCAAAAATAGTTCACTCCCAGGCAGAGCCCTGATTAGGGGCTATGCCCTCAGGTAGCCCAGGAATTAGAGAGATAATAAGACTTGAAAGAGTTCTTTTCTAACACAACCGCCCCTGATGAAAACTCTGTTTTACATTTTGGACTCAATTATTTTGTTAGCCATTTATATTTTTTCCGAAGGACTAAATAAGAAGATACAGAAAAACCGTTCCTGAACAGGTAGGTTAGAATTTAAAAGTCTCTTTTTTCTGCTATCATAAGACAAAGAATTAATTGTCAGAGTTGGCAGAGGCATCTTATTTGGAAGTGTTCATGAAACAGAATGAGGGTTTATCTCCCAAACCAAGGTGTAGTGAGGAAACAGTGAATGGCTGCGTCTATCAGACAAGTAACAGAAGGTGATGAGAAAATGGGTCAGCTAGGACATGGGAAGGAATAAAATAAATAATGTTGCCCACCTTGCAATTTGACCTTGGGTCTTGATGACAATACAAGTCCCATCTTGTTAGCAGGTGCTACTTTAAACCTCAGCTCCATCCCAGGTTGCTTCCCAGGTGACTCACTTATTGTCCTCACTACTATTTAACTTTATGAAAATAAACCACTCCAGGGCCTCCCCAGTGGTGCAGCAGTTGAGCGCTGGGTTGCGAAGCTGCCCACAGCCTCTGCAGAGCCAGTTCCATGCCCGGCTGCCAGGCTAGTGTCCCACATGGCGCGCAGACCTCTCCTGCCGCCCGCTGCTCCCCTCAGCAGTGTATTTCGTCACTCTGCCTGTTCTGC